ATACATAATAAATGTACTATTGAACTGTATTGATTGGTCTGTCATTATTATTTGCCAGCACAAAGTCAAAGCTGACATTTGGGCCAAATTTGAAGAAATTCCCTCAAAGCCTCCTTGATATATCGGGTTCACAAGAATAAGACCGATGCAAGGTCACAGTAATGTTGACCTTTGACCTAAGAACACCAAGATCTAATCAGTTAATTGTTGAGTCCAAGTGGACATTTTTGCCAAATTTGGAGATAGAACTCTCCATTGTATCACAGGATCTAGAGTTTGCCAGGTTGGACCTGTACAGGGTTTGAATTTACATTTTGAAAGTTTGAAAGTTTATTCTTCAACTCTTTCATTTTTTCAGTCTCTGCATCAGCATGTTTCTATGTTCTGTCACACTTTATCGTGTTTTGTCTCTTGATGCCACAAAAAAAAAAAACATATTTCCGACCCTGAAGCTCAAAAATGAGCCAATGAAAATACAAAGCCTCTTCAATATAAAACACCTTGACTACTAAATATTTAAAATTTATCTGCAGTTTATCTCTAAAAAAAAGATCTGGAGGATCCCGTTAGTGAAAGTGCTCTCATTTATTTATTTAGGGTGTCTCCTATCTTCAAACAAAGTCCTTCGTTAAACCTCTTGCTGTCAGTCATCCCTCTGCGGACAGGTATCCCTTCTCTAAAACGATGAATATCTAATTTTAGACCCAAACCCTTCAATCTGCATCAGACGGTGGGTTGCCAGGTTTGAAGGGTTCAGATGAAATCCAGAGAGGCACACATTTTCATCTGCCTGCCTATGGTAGTAATTAACAGATGGATTACTATCTGAGGCAGACATCCTCACTAAAACACACACTCCTGGATGTATTTATCTCACAGTTATACACCCCCCCCCCCCCCCCCCCCCCCCCCCCCCCCCCCCCCGTCTATTAGACACATTTAGCATATGAATTTACATCTGCAGACAGATGTATATACAGTCCACATATACACACTGCCTCTGCCACTGCTGCTGCTGCTGTACAATTTGTTTTCCCTGTTTTATTCCTTTTGGGAGCCAATTATTTCAAACACACAAGCAAAATATCTGGAATACAGTGTACACATTCACATGCTGCTCTGTCCACTGTGTGTGTGTGTGTGTGTGTGTGTGTGTGTGCATTTACATTTGAGGACAGATCTGCAGAGCTGCTCGTGTCTCCTCAACTGAACCTATAGCATGACTCACACTCACACATACATCTTGTAAGCTGAGTCTTACTTTAACCCAGACTCTGAAATTAAAGTGAGCAGAAGCAGGATGCAAAGACCACAGATTGATGCTGCTGTTAGATGCTGCAGCGCCCCTTCTCTGCCTCACTTCACACTGCAGCTGGTGTCACATTTAAGGGTTCTATTTCATTCTTCCTGACCACCAGATGGCGGTGCTTCAGCACTGGATATCTCCATCTTGCGTATGTGCAGGTCGAGTCATTATACCAACAAAGTCACCTGTGACCATGCAATGACGTAGGGTGTTTACCCAAGTATAAAACCCCCATGTCATCACACAATCTGCTCTTTCTATCTTCTCGCAACTGTAGAAGCTGTTAGCAGATCAATTTGGCTCATTGCTTGTGGCCTTGTAACTGGATGGTTGGTGCTTCATTTTTTTCGTCCACCAGAGGCTGCGGCAACCTGTTTTCTCGAGAAAAGATAACAGTCAGTAGGACAGCAGTGATCTCACTGTTATGGTTTGTGCTGAACTAAATTACAGCTTAACAGGCAAGTCGACCAGCAGCCTGCCAGGCTCTCCTTCATGCATAATTCATTCATTCATAATTCATACATTCATTCATACATACTGGAGATATACCATGGCAACAATAACTACTTTCTGTTAAATACATAACTACACACTGTAGTCAGTACATATTATATCACTCTTATACTACGTCCCAATTCCTCCCCTTAGCACTAGCCCTTGAAACTATCACTCCCCTTGGTTGGGAAACAATAAAAACTTTCTGTAACTTCATCCTCATACTCTCTCCACAGTAGTCAGTATACGACCACCACTTGTAGACCCCAAACTTTACAGAAATGTAAGACAAAAAGCGGCCATATGTATTCCAGAATACTTAAACTTAGATAAGCTCAAACACACCCTCCCCCTATATCTCTCTTTCTCAATATGTGTAGTTAAAAAATAAAACTGACAATAAAATGCACTTAATGGTTTTAATTTCACAGTAATATAAAATATAAAATAAATATTAATATTAAAACAAAATATATTTGTTTTAATCATGTCATTTATCAATGGAAAATAGTTTACTAAAACTAAATTAATAAAACTAGATCTAAGCCAGTCGAGATGTGTTGTCCTCCGTGTGGCAAGCAGTGACGAGAACTGTGATACTATTTATAATTATGTGGGAAATGTTCAAGAAAAGTAATGGATCTGATGGTTATGTTGTTTATAATAATGATTAGTGCAGCAGTTCAGTCACACACAGCCAAGGAGTGAAAAGAGAAAGAAATCTGATTTGTATCACATCTTTTGTCTAACCGTTTTATTTGGTGGTGGTGCTTCTCTGTCCTCCAGTAGTTACTAAAAAGTTTATGATAATAGAATATGTGGCAACAGCGGAGAGTAAAGTCCTCCTCTGGGAGCATGGTGTTAATCTGACTGTTGTGGGTTGAATGTGTGCACACAGGCCGGCAGTTGTTGGAAAACCACACAGCTATGTGACATGCATTAAGTTGGTATTTGGGGTGGATGGATCGTGAATGGTTGATGGCTAGGTTGTAAGATGACACAGTAGCAGGAATATTAAGAGAGTATTAACAGTAGGATGGTGCACCAAAGTGCACCCACAGTCCTGGCCCACAGTGCCTGATATCTGTACCATAGGTCATTAACCAAGACATTCTTGTATTTAGTGTAGATATCTAAATATGCATTATAAAACAGTGATCAGTTTCTCATGACGTGAAATTGCATTAAAAAAATCATCAATGTACAGGTCGCCGCCATGGAGCACTTTTATGTCCCTACCAATGTGAAAATCAAACCTATGCCCTTGTGTGGAGGCCACTGCCAATTTAAGTAAGAATGACCAACTTTTGTTTGCTATGGGGGTTGTAAGAAAGGTACACCCCTATCAAGACAGAGACTTTCTAACTGGATTGTGGAAGTGGTTCCACATGCTTACATTGCAAGGCCCGTCAGCCCCTGGTAATGTGAAGTGTCACTCTGCTCAGAGTGTGTTTATATCCTGGGCAGCATTGAAAGGGGTCTCTCTGCAAGACATCTATGCTGCTGCAACCTGCGAGTCTTCATGTACCTTTGCTCGCTATTACCATGTCAATGTGACTGCCCCTACAATTGTGGCAGCAGCCATCCTGTCAACAGTTTCCGTCCCTTAGCGTGGTAAGCATTCCTTGTGACTTTGCTGGTGGTCAGGAAGAATGAAATACAACGAGAGTTACAGCTGTAACTACAGTTCTATGAATTCTGGATGACCACCAGAGCTGTCTGTCATTCAAAATCTGGGCAAGAAGATTCTGTGGGAGCAGACTGTGTGATGACATGGGGGTTTTATACTGGGTTGAGCGCCTTACGTCATCGCATGGTCACAGGTGACTTTATTGGTATAATGACTTGACCTGCACATACGCAAGATGGAGATATCCAGTGCTGAAGCACTGCCGTCTGGCGGTCATCCAGAATTCACAGAACCATAGTTACAGCTGTAACTCTCTTTTTCAAGTACAACACATGAACTCTGCAGCTCTGCATCCATGTACTCCAGCAGGGAAAAGAACATTTGATATGTCAGCATGGATTGTGACACATATCTGATAAAGTATTATAGACTCAAGGGTCACTCAATGATATCTCCTTAAGATTTCCACCATTTCCCTCAGTCATCATTAGAAAACATTACACATCTGTAATCATGTGACCTTAACCATTCCTGTAAATTTTGCCTAAAATGCCTATCCAAGGCGTACCCAAAATAAATTAAACGCTGTTCTTGAACCGTTTGGAGTATATGGATGGTTTTGGTCTCTTTTGAAACGAAACACTCTAAAGTTTTTCCCCAAAGTGTAAGGATCATTGTAAGTGCTACTGTCATTGAGTAATCTAAGTTTGAACACACTGAAGTAGAAGGTTTTTTATTCTCGCCTGAATTTTTGTTGCAAAAAGATGCCTGCAGATGAGTGTAGCTGGGACTTTTTAGCTGGAAAACACAATGGGACCACCACATGAAGCCTTACCTAGTCCCAGTTCAAATGTTGATAACAATCCTACAGAAAATTATTATTTTACACATGTTTTTCTGAGGGTATGTCTAGGCGTTTCCAAAAATGTGCCATTTGGAGACTCCAAAAGGACCCTTGGATAACCATGGTCACATAGCTGGATAAAAGGGCAGAACTCTTGAACGCTTCAACGTACAGTCATGATTTTGGGCTCTAATGAAAGGTGACACTTAGAGGTACCCAATCCCACAATCAGCATCAGTATTGCTGAAAAAAGTTACTGAAGCATAAACTAAAATCTGTGCATATAAAAGAGTCAAAACAAGTGCTGTTATGGAAAAGTGTTTTTTATATGAAATGTAAACATAATAATTAATTCATTAAAATACCAATTCATTTTATGTAAAATAACATATATATATATATAATATATATAATTATTTCACTATTTAATTAAGTATTTCATGGTCCTGTGTTGCAGTGCTTCATGAATTTATTTTATCTGTCAAACTCGCCCATCAAAGTCAGTGGGTGGATCCTAACATCTGATTGGTTACCCTGCACATCAAGTCAAGGCAGATCGATTCCAGATAATGGATTGATGCAGAGCTAGTGAACATATTCCAATACACTGGGTGGCGCTATTCACTTCTACGTTGGTTTGGATACTATTAAACAAAACTTTATTTACAACTGCTAAAAATCAAGGGGAAGACTCAGCCCTGCTGGCCCCAATGCTGACACAGCGTGTGAGGTGCAGGACAAAATGTCGAAAACCTGCCCGGAGCTGCTGAGAGAAGCAGCGAATTTGATTGAGGAAGTTCTCAGCAGAACTCCGACGGCTCAGTCACAGCAGATACCTACCTACCTCCATCACGTACACCTGTCCAAGGTAAGCTAAGTAATTTAATGTTAGCTAGGTGTGCTACTAATCAGTGACTCGGGACACAGGTGTGGGTTAAATTAGATGAGAATTTGGAGTTGGGTCGAAAATGTATTTGTATGTGGTAGACTTGTTATGCTTCGTGTGTCATACGTTCATTGTTAATGGTGGGAGCATAAAACTAGTTCGCTAATAGGTAAAATAGTGTTAGCTGGCAGCAACATCCCAGGATAGAAGTTTTGGCTGTTTTAGCTGACTGGGGACCATTGAGCTGTGACGTTTTTCTGTGTTGCAGCCGAGGTAGCAAGGCTCTTCGTGCCGTATAACGTTAATGGTGGAGCCAGAAGGAATATGACGAGACGACCAGCACAAGTCCAAGTTAGCCGAAGAAACTACACACGCACTGTCTGTTGTTTGGCTGACCACAAGGCGGATAAAGTTCCAAGCGTACTGCTTAAAGCGGACCTTCTTACTTGAGGACTTGGAGAGCAAAAAGTAACATTTTCAGGTCAGTATGAAACTAGGAATTTACCAAAACCAAAAAAACTTTGTACGTTACTGTCTGTGGGTCGTGGAAATTATTTGCATTTCTACTCAGCATTTCTTTTTGTAGTCATAAGTATTTCCATATGTTCATATTTGACTCAAACTTAATTGATTTTCATAGTGTGAATAAATAGTTATTACAGGCTTTTTTGCTAAGTCAATATGAGTTATGTCTATTTTTATTTTTATTTTTATTTTTTTACAGGGAATGACAACAATCCCATGGTTATAACAAATAAACTGATGGAAGTGTTTCCGAAGCTCCAAGAAGGGGGAGGCTTTGAATTTCTAAAAATTGTAGGATCTACCCGCAGTCGAAATCTTGCATTGCTTCAGTGTCCCAGCACTGGATACGCCCTTGCCTATCTGAAAGATCCATCAACGATGATTGGATAGGCTACAATCTACATACGTCCACTTCAACAGGATCTACCCTTAGATTGTGTACATAAATTTACAGAGACTCCTTCAATACATAACCAAAACAAAGCTCACTGGTAACTTTTAATCATTAATTAAAAGCCATTTGTTGTTGTTAGGAGAGCTCATGTCATGCCTCTGGTCCAGTCATCCCCTGCATTACTTGTCAGAAGGAAGTTCCCTTTTCAGAAATGAAGCTGCACAGATTGAGCTGCAATGGGTATGTACCTCCTAAAGAAATGCAAGGGTAGCATATTCATTTTTCTTTGGGAAAATGTCTCTCTTAGAGTGTTGTGCACACAAATAAGGGAGTATGATCATAATTTCATTTTTGTTAACTTCAAGGACACCCGTGCAGGAATCAGAGAGAGAACAAGAGGGATGCCAAAGTGAAGAAAATGACAGAGAGACAGCCTTAGTCAGTGACAGTGTTCCAGTGAGGCCTGAAACATCAGCTGAGAGTGTAGTAGTACCAGCAGTGATTGACAACGAGGAGTTGGATCACAAAGAAACAGACACTGATTTGTGTCATCACAATAGGGTTGCTATAAGATTGTGTAACTTAAACTCAGTCAATATCAAAATAGTCAAAATAACACCTGTAAGATATAATTAGATAGATAAGATAATGCAAATACACACAATTAATAACATGCAGCTGGGTTATATATTCTAACTGTTAAAATATTTAGTTTTTGTTCAGAATGCTGTGTTGTTGATTTTATGTCAACTCAGCTGTGTAACAGATTCTGAAGATGTTGGGTCTCACATGTTTGTCAGTGACATGGACAGAACTTTCCTCCTCTTCTGTAGACTGAGAGGATATCTGTATTTGCAGGTAACATGCCAACTCACAACATGTCTCTCTGGAATAGATAACTTTGTTGTTGTTGTTGTCTAGAATGGAAGCTTATTAAACAACCGGCTCAAGCTGCCAAAGTTTTCAAAGAGAATCTACTAAGGGAGCATGCATCTGGGAAACCACTTAGAATAAGGATGGATGTAAGGGACTCTGAAGAGGACAGGGAACGGGAACTTCTCTCATTCTATAAACAGCAGCAAGAATGGGCATGTCCACTTCATTGTACTCTTGTTGGTAAATAATATAAAGTTTGTAGTATAAATGTATCAGTAAAGTTTATACCACTCAAATGTCTTATATGGAATTTTAAATGGGAGAATGGGATCCAAAAAAACTGTATAATTGATGACCACTAATGAAAATATGTCGTGTACAATATTCTCCTGTTATCTGGAATAGTCAATATTAAGGATGCTATTCTAGAATTGCAGCCAATAGAATATTGACTATTTTTTCCTTGCTTGTTAAATGTTACCTTGTCCAGTTACCTGTATTAGTCAGCCACTGTTTTCCACTGTGTTATTATCAGTATTTTATTTCAGGTGATGTTGCTGTCAGAGAGGGAGTGATGCGGTACTTTATGACAACAATAATATCCAAACTCCAGTTTGGATTCAGTCTTGATCTTGGTAAGTCTCTTACTATTTTGAAGGTTAATATGATGTAATTTTTAAATGTATTTAAGTGGTTAATTGTTGTGACTTCATCCCCTGCTCTCTTGGTACTATTTGAGGGTGAACCTGACCATCTTGTTCCAGCAGCATCAGGCGCTTATTGAAAGCAACCTCTTCCAGGTTGCAGGAAGGATGTTGGACAACGCCTTTCTGCATGACGGCCCCCTTGTCACAGGATTAAGTCCTGCTGTAATTCATGTACTGTTCAATGGGGACCCTGAAATGGCAACTGTTGTTACAGAAGACTGTCCTGATCTGCACATCAGGAAGATCATAAAACTGGTATGTAACAAAAAAAAAACTTTGCCTTGCAAAATCATTGTTTGGGCAAATGTAATAACTTGTATGGTCTTAATTCTAGCTTGAACATGAAGAACTTACACCGGAACAGAAGGACACAGTTTCAGATATTTCCATGTCTGTCCATGAATTCATTGCGGTAGTTGTTGAGATTATAGAAGGTGTTGTGAACCCTGGCTTGTAATGTCAACACTGGCAGAGATGGAAATGGTCAAATTTTAGTGGTGAAATTCATGCTACAAATACTTGTTTTTGAGGAATTTAAACATGATATTTAGTCTGCCCACAGTCATGTTAAAGTTCTTCAAAACCAGCATTTAATGCATATATTTAATATTTAATATTTAATGCATATATTTCTCACGCCTGCAAGTGTTGATAGAACAGTAGCATATTTAACAAAACTCCAATTTCACAAATGTTGACACAGTAGAAAAAACGATCATTAAAAACAAAATGTAAAAAAAAAATCACTACAGTACATTGAGCTCAACAACACACATCTGGTGTTGTGAATTTGCCTTTTGATAATATACTTTAAAAAGGTGATAGTCAAGTGTTCACTACTGTTAACTTCTTTCATTTACAGTTTTTAAGCATTGGAACACTAAAGACACCAGTTGCTGAAATTTAGAAAGTGGAATTTCCCTATTCATCCATCAGTTATGTCTTAAGCAGAACAGTTATGTCAAGTTTGCATGAAGCACCATATATTCTCAGTCACAGGCAAACTGGGACTGTAGACAGGATAACTAGCACTCCCTTTAACTTGTAATCCAGGTAGACTGTGACTTGTTGTAAAATGAAGGGACATCCTGGGAAAAGACACATCTGAATAGCGGCATACATTATTCTAAAATGTGTAAATGTCATATGAAGGGTTGATATATTCTGTATTAGAGTTTGAATAGATTTTATAAAGCACTTTATTGTGCTTTTATGAACATTTTCCCTACTGTGCCAACTTTTGTAAAATTTGGGTTGAGGATTTGGTCTGTAATATGGGTCGGGTCTGTTTCTTAGGTCATTGGGAGGACCATGCGTCACATTAAACAGTTGAGAAAAGGACTGAAAGATGTGATGGTATGGCCCCTGCTGACATCTAGGCCAGATGCTGTCCCACTTCTTTTCCCCAAAATGGCTGAAATGCAGTTCGCACCCCAGGTAAGTCAGTAATTGTTATATTTGTGACTTATCTTGATGAATTTACATGTATTTTCAATGACTGAGCTGGTTATTTTTCCATTTCCCGAGAATGTGTTCTGCATATACCTTCACCAAAAAAAGTTCTCCCTTTTAAAATAATTACATTGATGTGTTCTTTAAGATGCTCCTCGTAAAAATCACATGGCCACGTGAGGACAGTGATGATGAAGACTTTGACATAGAGTCCACATGCCTCATCACTAGCTTTCTAAGGATGTTCATTGAAACAGGTATAAACACCTTATTTGGCTAAAGTATTGCTCTCTTTACAAATGCTTCTATGTCTTATGGGTAAATATGATCAATTAAAGTTGAACTAAATGTTGTCTTGAATCCATTTTATGACTTAGCTTCATCAGGTACACTGGCCCAGCTGCTGACATTCTGGGTTGGCTGGGAGATGCTTCCTCCTGAACTGAAGGTGGAGATTTCTGGGGGGAACCCTTCCTACGTCTTCCACATGCTTTGAAACACTGACGCTGCCAGCTCATTTCAAAACCTACATGGCCTTCGAGAAAGCACTTGTCTCTGCCATAAATAGTGCACAGACTGGATTTGGACTTGTTTAAGTTTTTTTCAGACAGATGGTATTGCATGCACTGTTCAGTATGTCAGGTCAGTTGACACAAGTTTGGTGTCTTTGAAAACATTTAAACATACTGTGTAGTAGTTGACAATTGTTTTATTCAAAACATTGTTTCCATTTACTGAAACCAAACAGTTCTGCATCTTCATCTTTCAGTGTTAACAGAACAGCATTCATGTCATTCATTCTGTGGCAAATAATGAGACAGGAAGTAAAGGAGTGTGTTTAAGTTTAGGAAGTAGTGGAGCTGTACATAAAGTCAATTTACGAGATCATAACAGTGATTATGAGCTTTAAGGTAAAACAGCTTTTTTTTTAAGGAAAGCAAACTTCTTCAGTTTATGCTTGTTTGCTCTAACATGCTAAATAAAAGCATGGGTTGGACATCAGTCTGCTATGATTCCTAATAAAATTTGCACAGTCTCTACATATGATCTAAGTGCATCAGTTACAGAAACTCCTGGAGCTGGCAAAATGGCAACCTCTTCATCAGAGAGCTCACGGGCCAGCTGAACCTCTGGGACTGACAAAGTGCCTCCATGAAGACTGTGAGGTCCATTCTAGTCGATCCCATAGTCTTCATAAACCTGAATGGAAGACAAGCATGATCAGTCATGTACTTAACTAGTCTGACATGTCATTACACAAGGTATTTAAGATTGTTATTTTTGGTAACCAAGTCTGTGAGAAATTAAATGTTGCCTATTCAGTTTTGTAAAATAGCACAGTAATGCACCATAGAAACTACAGTTCAGAGGTTGATCTTTGAAAGCTCAGGAGACCTTGAAGAGACTATAACCTATGTTTCATGTAAAGTAGAACATTTAGCACATTTTCTCCCATAATTCCTTTGGGGAAACGGTTCAAAACAGTGTTAAAAGTTGATCTTTCTTTAACCTCAGTAGGATCCTCCATAGGGCCTTGCTCTCTGTATCTTCTCCAGAGTTGCTGCGGTGACTGATTCCTTTCAGTTCTAAGACCATGAAAGTTCCAAGCTTCTCTGAAAGAGTCAAGGCTTTGCTAAATTAGTGGAAGGAAGATCCGATGCAGTGCGAAAAGATGGACTTCATTGTCTGGATTCAGTGCTCCCTGATCTTCCAATGAAGTGAAGATCTGATAGAAGAGGTCCAGGGCATGTTCATAAACATCTCTCCACATTCTCTCTATTCTGTGTTTAGGATAAAATTGACATGGTGTTAATTTATGTGTGACATATGCTAAAGAAGTACATTCAATAGTATGTTTGTTATGTGAGCCTAGTTGCCAAACATATTTATTTACCGCTGATTGTGGACACTTCTGCCTGTGATGTGTGAATTCCTGTTGGTACCTCTGTTCCTGATCATGAATTCTGCTACATCTGCATTCTCCCCCCCTTTATCAGACCGTACCCTTGATGGCAGCCCATACCGCTCAACAGCAGCAATAAAGCTCTGTAAGACTGTACTAGCTCTATTATTGCCAGCCACAGTCAGGTAGACCATTAAATGACTGAATCCATCCACCCCACCATGGACAACAAATCTTCACCTGTCAGGCAATTGTGAAGACACAAAAAGGCACAACTTTATTGTAAAACAATTCTAATGACACCTATAGAAAGATGCATTGTTTATCTGCTAATATCACTGACCTGATGAGCATATGGTTGCCATCTATATGCCATAAAGAGTTTGGGCCAGGAACAGAATACTGCCGTCGTCTTAATACACGCAGCCTTAGATGTCTCATGTAGACTCCCTCTGCATCGACTCTGCGTAAAGACTCTTGCAGTCTTGAGACTAAGGGGAGGAAAATAAAATAAATAACGATACACTCACTGGCAACTTCATTAGAAACACCTGTTCAATCTGTTTGACCAGTACTGGAACAAAGATACTCACAGAATCACTTATTTTGAGGAAATAGTGGTGTCATAATAAAACAGACAATATAATGATGTGTGTAAAACAGTCAACTATTATACTACAGAACCACCACAGCCTCAAAAATAACCAAAATTCACTTAATTTTCTGAAAGAGAATAAACAAGTTGCTAAACCAAACTTCAGGATAGGATATTTTAATGCACGGCTACTGGCTTCAACTAAACTGCAAATAAAATGACTGATGCATTGCAAATGGAAACATAGGCCTACATGAACATTATCTTAAAATTAGCTAGGCTCACTAATTTACTTTATAGCTCATATTAAATAAATACATTAGAAAATAAATGTAAATAATGCCCATATTATTATACTCACTTGGAACACGCACACCTCTTGCATTCAGATGACCATGCATTAGCTTGTAGCCAGTGTTTGGATGTCTTCTGTGAACTTCACTTACAATACGGTCCAACTCCTCATTATTCACAGCTGAATAGAGGTCTGTCTTTCTGCATAAACAAAAAACATCAATATCAAGTAATGTTACACTTAACGTAATATCATTTCTGAGTGGATGAGACTGGCAATTCATAAACTGAAAACTTGTGAATTTAGCGTAATAACGTTACCTTAAACCGCTTTGTTTCATGCGCCTCCTGATGGTCCTCTTTGACACCCCCGAACATCGCTGCAATTTGACAAGCTGGTAATCCACAAAGAACTTGATGCTCCAGAACTGCACTCGGTATGTCAAACACCAAACGCCCTGGTCCCTGTGTGTGTTGTGCCTGTTGCGTCCTGGTAACGTCACCAGAGAAGCGGTGGAGTATAGGGATGGGCGATACCACACTTTTCAGATTCGATACGATACTGATACTTTTTCTTTCAATTTCATCGATACCGATACCGATATCGATACTGATCATTTCTTATTGGTTATTTTTTAAAGTCAAAAGGTAATTACACTTACAGGCAAATCACATGAAAAATGACATATATGACTGGCCTTTTAAACACATTTATTAAGAACAAAAGAGGGCGTCCTATACAGAGAGACCTTAACATATAAGTTAATTCACTTTGATTATTAAAGCACCAAATTGGCCTTTTGACCACTGGCACAAATCCAAACACCAGGTCTGTAACAATTACTTATATGTAAGGTAGGTGAAAACTACCAACAAACTCATTACATCATAACAATGCTGTGTTGAAAACTTGTATGTTGAAGTAAACATGTCTGTAACACTGTGATCCATACCTTCTCACTGAAGTGGAGCAGAAACAAGAGACAGACTTAAAAAACATTTTGTTGTCTTAAGCTTACACGAAAAAGCAAAGTATCATTTGAAATAACAACTTACACTTTGAAAAGCACATTTAATAAGTAATGGCACAGTTAGCGGAAAAAATATACACTTTCCTATACTATCATGCCTCTCAGGAGGTATAGCTCTACATTTTACTAAAGTTTTAGGTTGGTGTTGAGGAACAGTAACATGTTAACATTTTCAGCTTTAAGCCGATTACGCTTCTGGCTAATTGTCTCTCCTGCCTTGGAAAACAGCCTCTCTGCTGGAACAGAGGTTGCAACAGTTCCAAGGTATCTTTTTGCTACTTTGCCCAGCAGTGGAAATGCATTCTCATTTTTCTTCCACCAAAGCAAAGGGTCCTCGCTCCTTTGTATCACTTTTTCTTCCATGTATCTGCGCATTTCAATGTATGCATCTGTGTTTGCTGTGCGACTGCTCTGAGAAGCCATAACACGAGTGTCAAACTCCTGCCATAATCCTCCCTTGGATGTTGAACACTTTGCATCACTACTTTCAGTGTTTGCAGCAGGTGACCCTTGTGTCAGTGACATGGTTGCTGTCATGGAGTTGGTTGATGCAGTAGCAGAGGCTTCACTGCTGGTTGCCTGACACTCACAGCTGCCCAGGGCTTGCATCTCACTGATTATCCTTGATTTGATCATTTCCACATTTCCAGTATCACAGAAGACAATGTTTTTGAATCAAATGTCCAAAAAAGTGCTGGCTGCAAGAGTGTGGTTGTGCTCAATGTTTTGAAAGCGCCGCTTGCATTGTGCTGAAAGCTGTGAAGCCAGAGAGTTACCCCTCTGCCCAGCAGATGAGGTTGCTCGTTGGAGAAGAGAAACCAGAGGAATGACTTTGGAAATGGTTACGTAGTGCTCTGCTGAAACCTCCTTAGTGGCCTCTTCAAAAGGCCTAAGGGCTTCAATGGCTTGGCTAATGTGGGACCATTCTCCCTCATTCAGGCACAGGGTGGTTCTCCCAAGAAGACAAAGTGCTGTTGTGACAGCTTGTTGTTGTTCATGCAGTCGTTCTAGCATGTACAATACTGAATTCCATCGCGTATCCACTGCTTGGATTAGTCTGTGCTGTGGGAACCGCAACTGACTTTGTACTTCTTTTAGTTTGTCAGTTGCTTTGGTGCTGTGATGGAAGAACCGAACAATAGCACCACATTTCTCCAAGATGGACTCGAGACTTGTGTCAGCCTTAATGGAGTCCTTCACAATGAGGTTGAGTGTGTGTGAAAAGCACGGAATGTGTTTCCAGCAAGTTTTCCGCACAGCTGAAACCATATTTGCTCCATTGTCTGTAACGACAGCATGGATCTTGCTGCTGATGCTCCACTCATCAGTTATTTTTGTGAGGAGTTCACAAATATTGTCTGCTGTGTGCTGTACAGCTACATGGTATGTTGCAAGATTGCAGGACTGCATCTGCCAGTCCTTATCAATAAAGTGTCCTGTCACAGTCAAATAAGCTTCAGTGGTTCTTGCAGTCCACATATCACTTGTTAAAACCAGGCTGCCTGCTGATTGTATGGAGTCTTTCAATGTTTTTTTTACTTGTTCATATAGTTTGGGAATTTCACCTGTCATCAGGGATTTCCGACTTGGGATCTGGTAACGGGGATCCACCACTTTCATAAAATGACGGAAACCTTGATCCTCAACCATTGAAACTGGTTGCAAGTCTTTCACAATCATCTGGGAGAGGCTCCTTGTGATCTCTTGGGCTCTTTGGGACTCAGCTGAAAAAGATAATGTTTTCAAAAAACAAAAGGGAAGATGAATTGTTTTTGCTGTACAAGATGTTTGTTAAGGATTTGATTAGATACAAGGCCTACATAATTAAATGTGAAATAATTGAAATCACAATATGGCCAAGTGCAATATCAAACCTGCAAGAAGCTGCAATTATTTGTAAGTATAACTTGTGAAAAACAGTTTTATCATGAAGTGATAAAATATGAATTATATTCTCCAGATGTAAGAAAACATGTCACAGATTAAAAACAATGTTTTAATCATAATGATTTGAATGGGCTTTTTTTCAGTGAAAAATAAAACTATGATGTAAAAATGACAATTCCCATAAATTATGAGTCATATTGCAATTGCAATATGTCTTTTTTTTTAAGCTTCAAAATCAGTTTATGATCAGATTATGCAGCCCTATTAGATATTTTATAAAAAGCAAATTCCTGGACTAGTACGATATATATATATATGTATATATATTCCCCCTAATACTCTGGGCCATAAATTTCAGAAGCACTTATTTTGTGGCATAAAAAAAAACTAAATTACCCACATCCTCCCTACAGAAACTTTTGCCACTAATTTATCCTCATAGTAAATTCAACCTGGCTTAATCCACTGTTTGGACTCCTAAATGTATATGCAAATTCTAGAGTTTTGCAAGATTATTACCAAAAACAATGTTAAATAGAGGAGTGCCATGGCGATTTCTCCCAATTAAAATTACCCTCTTCACCTGCTAACATCATTAGATTATGGTCACGATGTTGAGGAATTCACCTGTACCTGGATATACTTTTCCTTTCTGGAAACTCTCATGTAGGGTCTTTTGCCGGACAGCGGGTGGTGCAGCAGCAGCAGACCTGTCTTTCTCTGCTTCCTCTTGTCGTTTTTCAAGCTCATTGTGACTTTCGGGGTGTGTACTTTTTAAATGTTTAAATAGGTTGCTGGTGTTGCTGCTGTGTGCAACCTTCTTATCACATATTGTACATTTTGCTGTGACTTTCTCGAGTGGTGAAAAATAACACCACACCACGCTCCTTTTTCTGTCTGTCATTCCACTCTGCTGTGCTGCTGGTCATCGCTTGTCCCGCTGTTCCTGTTTTAAAACCTGCTAGCTCGGCTGTAACGTCTCAACTTCCCCATGTCACGTGACACGGACCAGTCCATTTAGCAGGTATAGAGGGAGGTGTCTCGGCACAAAACATTGGAGTAGGTTACAGAAAACAGGTGAAAGTGATGCATGCACTTTCGTATTTATTAATCAGTATCGATATATTTTCAAAGATATCAACACGAAATGAGTAGCGTGTGAGCATCGATGTATCGATCCCGCTGGATCGATACGCCCATCCCTAGTGGAGTACTTCTTCTAAATTTGCAGTCACTCTACGGTCAATATCTTGGTCAGAAAGTGCGGAAATAACTCCAGCAACTTCAATAAATTCCTCTGCTTTACACGCTACATGTTCTGGGTCAGCAGGTCCTGCTTCCACATTCTCTGCTAGGTCTAAAATATCTCTCACCAACTCCCTAGAAAGGTCATGGAGGTCCTCCATCATTGTAGCTGCCATGTTTTGAAAGACTTCAGACCAAAACAATGGATTAGACTAGATTAGCGTTAGCCCCGCCCACTGACTTTGATGGGCGAGTTTGACAGATAAAATAAATTCATGAAGCACTGCAACACAGGACCATGAAATACTTAATTAAATAGTGAAATAATTATATATGTTTCTTACATAAAATAAATTGGTATTTTAATGAAATAATGACACATTTAATAACACATTTATGTATTTAATTCCAATTTTAATTAATCAATGACACATTAAAGTAATTATTTAATGGTTTATTTATTTATTTAATTTTGGCACTTTTAGTCCTCCATATTCTTACTACAGTGGCTAATGCAAAAACATGAATGTCATGAATGCCAGCATTTGGTTTGTCCGTTCTGAGCCCGTAACAACACTATCATGGTGCACTTAAGGTATTGTGGCGTGTTGGGGCTAAATCGGTGGAGTTTCCTTGCATGCTGTGAGACAATATGTTTAAGGCCATAAGCTGAAGAAAACTGTTTAAATGTGTTCTAAATCACTCATGTTACACAATACATGATTAATGTTTATGGATTTCACAATGGTTCTAATGGGTTACAGTTAATGTTGTAGTAAAGCCATTTTGCACCATTCACCCCCTCTGGAGTGTCTTGTCTGTTAGTTTTATTTTTATTTATTTATTTATTTTTGCTTGTATTATTCCAGTTTAGCTTTCTTTTAGCTTTTAAGTTGTATGGCATTAATACTAGAAGAGAGGGAAACAGCATTTTGATTCTTCTGTATGTCCTGCACATAAAGTGAATTGACAATAAACTTTGAACTTTGAAAACTTGAAAACTCAGAGTGCCTAACATAAAATTGTGCTGAGGTGAAATAAAAAGCACTTCCTGTTCAGAATTTATCTCTCTGCCTAATTCTGGTAATTGCAAAACCGAAGGTTGCCACAATATATTTTTATAGTTAAATGAAATCTTAAGAAATTGTCAGACAATCCTGTCAGACAAGGGTCATGTGACACATTTATTTTGTGTCTGATGTATTCAAAACCGTATGTATTGTACTGTACCAGGGGTGGGTAGAGTACTGAAAATCTGTACTCAAGTAAAAGTACAATTACTGCCATAAAAAAATACTCAAGTAGAAGTAAAATTACTATTAGAGAAACCTACTCCAGTAAAAGTAATAAGTACCTGGTTAATAATTTACTCAAGTACAAGTTACTTTCCGTTTGAATATTGTTTTAGGGTATGCGGACCAGTGCAAAATAATGAAAAAACAGCACTTGTTGATAAAACTTTTTTTTTAATGAAGCAGGTACCAATCATCCACTCTCCATCTCCTTCACTCTACCCCTCTTTTCCTCACCTACCCTCTTCTTTCTCCATTTCCCTATCTGTAATTTGAGTGGATGACCTTGCTTTAAAAACAGAACTGACATCCCAACTTCTTTGTCTTTTCTACGTCTTTTTGACTGTGAACAAAAGAAATAAAATCCAATAAAAAAAAGAAACCATTCAATATATGGTAAACAATAGCAGTATAATTTTCCCAAGTTCCATCTTTACATGTTGCCAAAATGTGTTTGTAAAGGTACAACAGGTCCCTGTAGAACTTTCCTTCTTAAATCAGATCACCAGGTGTCAGGTGAACTATTTTACAATTGAACATAACAGTAACAAAATGAAAATCCCATCTCTCCCTTGTTTAGTAAGAAATATGTCCTAAACTGGGATTATTTCAATTTCAATTTTATTTATAAAGCCCAATACCACAAATCACAGTTTGCCTCACAGGGCTTTACAGCATACGACATCCCTCTGTCCGTAGGACCCTCACAGTGGATAAGGAAAAACTCCCCAAAAAACCCCCTTTAACGGGGGAAAAAAAACGGTAGAAACCTCAGGAAGAGCAACTGAGGAGGGATCCCTCTTCCAGGACGGACAGACGTGCAATAGATGTCTGTCCGTCATCTACAGCTGTAAGACCTAATATATATTTAGATTGCTTCTCCCCAATTTCTCTTCAAGAATTGACCGCAGTGATTTCTTCATCTAAATCATCAACGTGTCTCTTAGACCCCATCCCAACTAGGCTACTTTAGGAAGTCTTACCTTTAGTTAACACTCATATATAGATATGATCAATATATCCTTATTAACAGGCTATGTACCACAGTCTTTTAAGGTAGCTGTAATTAAACCTCTCATGAAAAAGCCCACCCTGGATCCAGAGGTGTTATCCAACTATAGACCAATATCTAATCTTCCCTTTCTTTCAAAGATCCTTGAGAAAGTAGTCACAGACCAGCTGTGTGATTTTCTCCATGATAATAATTTATTTGAGGAATTTCAGTCAGGATTTAGAGTGCATCATAGCACTGAGACAGCACTAGTTAAAATTACAAATGACCTTCTGATTGCTTCAGACAAAGGACTCGTCTCTGTTCTTGTTTTATTAGATCTTAGTGCGGCGTTTGACACTATTGACCATCAAATTCTGCTACAGAGACTGGAACACTTAATTGGCCTAAAAGGTCCTGCACTAAGCTGGTTTAAATCTTATTCATCTGATCGTTTTCAGTTTGTTCACATTCATAATGAATCATCCTTACGTACTAAAGCTTGTTTTGGAGTTCCGCAAGGTCCTGTGCTCGGACCAATCCTTTGCTTCCTTTAGGTAATATCATTAGAAACCACTCTGTAAATTTCCATTGTTATGTGGATGATACACAGTTGTATTTATCTATGAAGCCAGAAGAAAGTAATCAATTAACTAAACTTCATAACTGCCTTAAAGACATAAAAACCTGGATGAGCAGCAATTTCCTGATGTTAAATTCAGACAAAACTGAAGTTATTGTTCTTAGCCCCAAACAACTCAGAGACTCCTTATCTGATGACATAGTTTCTCTAAATGGCATTGCTCTGGCCTCTAGCACTACCATAAGAAACCTCGGAGTAACATTTGATCAAGATTTGTCTTTTAATTCTCATTTAAAACAAACCTCATGGACTGCATTTTTTCATCTGCGTAATATTGCGAAAATTAGGCCTATCCTGACCCGGAAAGATGCAGAAAAATTTGTCCACACTGTTGTTACCTCAAGGCTGGATTACTGTAACTCTCTATTATCAGGTAGCTCTAGTAAGTCCTTAAAAACTCTCCAGCTAATTCAGAATGCAGCAGCACGTGTACTAACAGGAACTAAGAAACGAGATCATATTTCTCCTGTTTTAGCTTCTCTGCACTGGCTCCCTGTAAAATCCAGAATTGAATTTAAAATCCTACTGTTAACTTATAAAGCTCTAAATGGTCAAGCTCCGTCATATCTTAGAGAGCTCATAGTGCCTTATTATCCCACCAGAACACTGCGCTCTGACAACGCAGGGTTACTCGTGGTCCCTAAAGTCTCCAAAAGTAGATCAGGAGCCAGAGCCTTCAGCTATCAGGCTCCTCTCCTGTGGAATCATCTTCCTGTTACAGTCCGGGAGGCAGACACCGTCTCCACATTTAAGACTAGACTTAAGACTTTCCTCTTTGATAAAGCTTATAGTTAGGGCCGGCTCAGGCTTGCCCTGTACCAGCCCCTAGTTAGGCTGACTTAGGCCTAGTCTGCCGAAGGACCCTCCTATAATACACCGGGCACCTTCTCTCCTTCTCTCTCTTGTATCCTATTACTGCATCTTGCTAACTCTGCCATTCTGGATGTCACTAACTCGGCTTCTTCTCCGGAGCCTTTGTGCTCCACTGTCTCTCAGTAGGGCTGCACGGTATATGCGGTAGACGGTAGAAATGATATAAATTTGGCCCACGGTAGAGATTTGCGCTCTACCGTCCTATCGTCGATGACGTCATCGCACCTGCCTCAGTGTGAAAATGGCTGCGAGCACAGAGACAGCGGAGCAAGAGGAGCTGGTTCACGTCCGTGATTTAGCGTAGCACGTGCAACATGTGTTGCTGGAGAACTTGTGAGTGAGTGAGTTAATGTCTTATGAACAGCCCTGGACTTCTCAGACTCTTTTAGCGACTTACCGCTCAGAGGGAACTCATTCAGTGTCTCCTCTGGCAGCAGCACAGCCTCTCTCCCTCTCCTCTCTCGCCGTGCGCACACGGGAGTTGGTTTTCGGCAAGAGAGTTTGTCATAAACCTTTGGTAATGTAAACCTATGTTACGCTAGGGGCTCCACAAAAAACTCCATATGTGAATGTGTGATAGTTGTGGTATCATAGCAGCCTGTCACACGTTACAGCGTGATAATTAGAGGAGAAATGGCAGAGCATAAAGGTCCAGGTGGAAAAAACACAACTCAGTCATTTAGGATTTTGCTAAAAGAAGGAAATTACCTTTTGATATAGATCCCAGGGGACATTTTGCACCATAGAGTACTGGGTTTTAATTTTGAGTTTTGAGATCTGCATTCTGCACAATAAATGCTCCAAAAAATACATTATATCTTTGCTTTTGTTATTGTTGTTTTGGTTTTTTTTTTTATCAATTTAGCTTTGCTAAGGGACTACAAAACCCATTCAGAAACACTTCTATTATAACTTTTACACTTAAATTTATACCGCGATATGTACCGTTAAGGGAAGGGATTCGATTTATACCGTGATATAAATTTTAGGTCATACCGCCCAGCCCTATCTCTCAGGTTAACTCATATCGCAGCGGTGCCTGGATAGCGTGACGTGTGTGGTTGTGCTGCTGCCGTGGTGCTGCTGCTGCCATCATTAGTCATTAGTCATACTTCTACTGTTATTATACACATATGATTATTATCACACATGTATACTGCCAGATACTAATATATACTTTCAACATATTGTACCACAGTAGCCAGAACTATAACGATAATATTATTACTTTCATTAATGTTGTTGTAAGCTACTGTCATTACCGTCTGTCCTGCATCTCTCTCTCTCTCTTTCTGTCTCATTGTGTCATACGGATTACTGTTAATTAATTATGCTGATCTGTTCTGTACGACATCTATTGCACGTCTGTCTGTCCTGGAAGAGGGATCCCTCATCAGTTGCTCTTCCTGAGGTTTCTACTGTTTTTTTTCCCCCGTTAAAGGTTTTTTTTGGGGGAGTTTTTCCTTATCTGCTGTGAGGGTCCAAAGGACAGAGGGATGTTGTATGCTGTA